GAGGGCAGAAAATCCTGTTAGTCCTAGAGATCAGATAGTTCTTCAGCAATGACAGTACAATTACAACATCTAGCAGTAAATAAAATTTAGTGCAGACTTAGCACAAAGTCAGCTTTTTCTCTTAGGACAAAAATGAATTGTGGAGAGGAAAAGTTGTAATGTTTCTTTATATTAAAAGGCCATGTGTAAGGTTTGTTAATTTTTAACTTAATCTATTATAAAATACTTCTTTCCCACCCTCAATTTACAATCTTTAATTTTGTTTCTTTGTAACCTGCTTTTAAGAGATCAGGGTTTTTAGCTTTAAATATTAGCATCTGCTTAGTGAGATCACTTTGTTTTGGAGAATACTCTGGAAAACACCCTTTCCCCCAGCTCATTTGTCTTCCTCATCTATTTTTGCTGTGGTGGATGATGAGGCTGCAGGAACCTATTGGTAGCTGCTGATGTTCTGCAAGAGCAGATAGGAGAAGTTACATCAATACCAAATCCAGAGCAAGCCAATTGTGCTTTAGAAAGCTCTGCGCACACGCTGAGCGTTCGTTTAAAGCAGAGTTTAAGGCCAGTTCCTGATCTGAATGTCCCTGTCCACAGGAATACAGCTGCCTGGTCTGCGCCAGTCTCCTGTGCCCTGGTTTCTTTCAGGATCCCCGGAGAATTTTGCTGCTTTTGATATTTCCTCAAACTTATCAGGGATTCGCAGGCATCGGTTTACGTGAGTTGACTTTGTTTGTCGACTATGGTTTCTCTTTCTTGACTTTCAATCTCTTGCACAGGGGACCACAGCCTTTATTTTCCTTTACACTTCTGTGTTCATTTGCTGCTCCCATTAGAAAATGGCTCATCCCTAGATTAACTTTTGTGAACTGCCTCTTCCAGAGGCCTTGCTTTTCTGGGAAATTCTTGCACTGGGAGCCATCTTACAATCCTTCTGACAGCTACTAATGACCAGATTTCTTAATTACTTGTGTGTCTAGCTGGCTCTGCCTAAGTGTTGCTTTTCTACATTTGAAAAAGCTTTTAAAGATGTTATAATTTAAGGTTGTGAGTCCCTGGCTTCTTTCCCAATAAAACGTTGATATATTAACAATTAAAGCTGAGGAGCTCTGCCCCACGGCCTGTCTGGCTTTTGCACTGATCAGTGGTGCAGGCACCTGGCAGTCAGCCCAGGGTTGTGCAGCTCATGGCTGTGCCCCGTGTAGGACCCATCTCGGGAGGGGGTTTTTGCTGCTCCTCTTGCAGTTTTATATATACATGTACACACACATTGGTAACATTTGTCTGTTTCTCTTTTTGTTTGTACACTTCCTCTCTGTTCTCAGGTAGTATCAGGATTTCTGTTAAATTGGACTTGAACACAGAAAGCCATGTGGTGGTCATTTCCTACGAAAACATTTTTAAAATAATCGTGTGGTTTATTGTGTGGGGGGATTTTGCCTGCGTCCCTGTGATTGAGACTGTAAAACAAAACTCTTCTTTCCAGGGTCTTTCCAATGGATTAGAGTGTCTGTAGCTAGTTTCTTAGTGTTCCTGCAGTCCTGTTTGCCCTTCTCCAGTAGTGCCTTTTACGGCCTGTGTTTTTTCTGGTCACACGTCTGGCTTGCAGAACTCTTGCCCATCTTCCTATTAATGGGGAGGATGCAGCCAGCAATGCTCTTCAGGCTGCACGACAGAGTTTTCACATTATCATCTTGACAAAGTGCAGCGATTTTTCTCTGTAAAACATCTTCTTAAGGCTGCCCGCTCATCTGCGTGGATGAGGGTTGATCATCCTTGAGGGCTTTTGATCGCTTTCCTGCCTCTTGCTCCACTTGCCGTAACACCAAGAGTGTGGCTTTCTAGACAGCAGGGATAGCTGTTCCCTAACGCAGGGTCGGGTCGGTAGTTCCAAGGAGGTCTGTAGGCCCTCAGGGTTATATTGTTCTGGCATAAGAATTGCCAGACTCTGGGACCATTGGGAAGACCATTAGAAGTCACAATGAATGCAGGAAGCTGCCGTGAATACAAGATGTGACTGGGAAGGCTTGGCCTTAGCTCTTAATGGGCTGCGGCTGCATGTTGTGGAATCCCATGGGGAAGCTGAGGTGCTGGTTTTAATCTTTAAGTGGTTTTGATCCTGATCCCTTGAGATGAGTAGAAGGGCATGGACATAGGGGGCTGTTGGGAGGGTGCCTTGCTGAGCTGCTCATCCCAGCACGTTTTTGTGCCTCAGTCTGGGGTTGTTAGGCTTCTACTCCACCTGCAGCACCTAGTGCCTTGCTTTTTTGTTTCAGGTTCTGAGTGTGTCGAAGCCACCATAGTAGTGAGGAGTTACTGTCTGTATTCCTGCAGTGATTTGCAATTTGAGAGCACAGGAAGAATGCCCTGAGATGCATTTTGTAAAACTGAAGGAAATAAATGATTGCCAGCGGAGGGGAGGAGAGGTCACCAAGGGCTTATTAAATGACTCAGTCCATTGGGTGCTGCCAAGGGCACTGTGAGTTAGAGTCTAGGCAGAGGTGATGCTAAATTTTACACAAAATAAGGATGTGATTGAATCTGGGCTGTCATCTTATCTTCTACACGCTCCAGGTCCTGCACGCTAACAAAGGGGGAAGTAAACCCTATTAAGTGGCTGGTAAGAATTATGATATATAATTGTAGATACCCAAGGGCACTTCAGAGGCTGATCATAAACCAACTGTAATTCTTTATTTCCCAGCCTTCTTTCCTTCTTACTCTGGATTTTTGCATTTCTGGCTCGAGTCCTCTCTTATGGCTCTATAAAGGCTTCTTTCGAAAGATGGAATTTACTACTGTTTTTTAAGGATGTTTTTTGTACGTGTTAAATAGTTTTGTCTTTTTTATGACAGAAACAAAAGGGAAAATCATGTTCAGCATTGTGTTGTGTAGCCCAACAGTTGTTTCCATACAAACAAATGTCCTGAGATACCGTTCCCTTGCTAGGAAGACAAACGTGACGTTATTGTAACAGATCACATCAAGCAGCATAGCCACAGCTAGATTAAATATATATAAAATCATTCACGATGAAGGAGTATCTGCACTATTGTTTAGAAACCTCTGATTTCGAGAGATTTCAAGTTTTAAATTGGCAGGTTTGAAGTTTTAGTGGGTTGCTAGGATCATTCAGTGTACTAGAATTACTAAGATCTGTTCATATGTTTCTTTTAACCTCTAGATAAGTTGCTGAATCATGTCTGTTTCTAACTGGGCTATTAAATATTAAGAATTAGATCATTAAATATGTCTCAGCAAGCAGTTTTAAGATGCTAAAAGCAATAAATATAATTTAAGGTTGATGTAGATGTTTGTTGTGGAGCATCCTTCATCCTTTTCCTTCATTTTTTTTCTCATGCATTCTAAAATATGTAAACCTGAAGGATTAATTTAAAAGAGCCTATTCTTGGATGTAGAGACAGTTTTTAGAGGGTTCAGGCCCCTGCAGCATCTAGGAGAGCTGAAGCATCAATGTTGTAAGCAAAGGATATAGCTATTTTTTTTTTGTTTTAAAGTCTTCA